AAGCTGTACTAGTACGTCAGAAACCCTGAAAGGGTTAACCAAGTCAACAAATATGATACGCCATATACAAGTGTCAGAATTTCCTTTTCATTCAACTTATGGTTGTAGTCAACTGTAACCTTACCTCTTTCTTAGTGCATTTACAGCACTTTTCAGTCCAACATTGCTGTTGATTCACAGAGGTTTCCCTCAAGAGAGCTACAGTGATGCTGGTGAGGGGTCTCTTAATCCAGAAAAAAAATGTGTACTTTTAGTAATTTACTATATATTTAGATTTAATTATATAAAATTAATATACATATTATAGTACGTACTGTGTATATTATTTTATTTATACATGATGTTTGTTAAAATTACTGGATAGATATATCTAAAGCTTTAATAGTCAAGTGGGGAAAGACATAGGTTGAAGTGGATGAGCCTGGCCCATGGCCAGGGAGTGGAAAGACTCGAAACTCATCAAAGGTATAGTCTCTTGCAGCCACTGCTCCTATTCACTTAGGTATGGTACCTATATGCTACTAAGTGTTATTTGACTGTTATGAATGGTAGTTTAGATATTACTGGGTTTTGAATTTAGCTGAGGCAGGATAACAGGATAACAGGCAGGATAGCAAATTCAGTTATGTTAACAAAAAAGGCAATGAAAAATTCATCTACAGTGGACTTTCTTTCCATGTTCAAGGCCAATGCCACACTGACTTTCATGGAATCTAGTACAGTGGTACCGTGAGTTTCAAATAGCTCCCAGCTAGAACAATTATGCAAATGTATTTTTGTAAGGGCTTTTGTAAGTGTATTTTTGGGGGTCTGAAATGGACTAATCTAATTTACATTATTCCTTATGGGAACAAATTCGCTCGGTATCGGCACTTGAACAGCCTTCTGGAACGAATTAAGTTCGTAACTCGAGGTACCACTGCATATTTTTCTGTAGGAGGTGAAATTGACACTAATTGATTTTTATGATGCAAGTCCTTGGTATGTGTATTTTAGTTTTATCCCTTCAATGTTGTTACCATTAACTCTTTACAGACATGAAAGCTTCCAAAAAACCCTCTTTAATTAAAATGCCATTGGCTTTGTATCATAAATGCAGTATACACTGTTGTCTTCTCAAAAACTTTATTCTCTCTTGTATATAATGGACATTTTCAGACCTGATAAACCTTCAATAATTCAGTCAGTTTGATACACTACAATAGACTTGTATACAGTAATGTATCATGGATGTTTTCAGACAAATTTTCATCAGAACTGGGATTAACTTAGATACTAATGTACACTTTTTCTTTCTTTCAACACGTCGGCTGTATCCCACTGAGGCGGGGTGGCCCAAAAGGAAAAACGAAAGTTTCTCCTTTTACATTTAGTAATATATACAGGAGAAGGGGGTTACTAGCCCTTCATGTCATATCATATTCTTGCCACTGTGCAGTTTGACCCTAGGGGATACATATGAAAAATAACAATTCCATACCATCACAGCATCTGACATGTCCTGGTTGATTCCACATTCACCTGTAAGAAGATGCCGTTGATTTCTGCTACGGTCATGAAAGCAGGAGGAAATGCTGTTCTTTATCTACTCTAAATCCCTTATCATTAAAAGTAAAGTTGTAGACATGATTCAAATATGAAAGGGTATATACTTCTGAAAAGACAAAGGAGATTTAGTGAATAGCAGAGGAAAACATTATAAGACTGCTAGTCACTGCCATGTCTGTAAGTTCAGTAAAGAGTATTTCAGAACAGTCTAACATATGTCCTACAGAGAATTCTCTTCAATAATGTGTGCACGTAATCTCCTTTCATAGGGTAGAGTGTCTTCTCACCATAATGGTTGTGGTACTTGCTTACACAGGTTTAGCACTTGCCATAAATGTTGAGGTTTTTGTTTGTATTGTCATCCTCTTGCATGTATGGGCAACCAGTTCATCAGTATCATGTACTGTAGACGTAGTATATGATACTGATAATTCTGAAGATAATTTTTATATGATAATCAGCGCTTACTTTACTCCTTATGAGTACATGCCACTGTCATTATACAGTAGGTTGATAAACAGTGGTCATCCAGGGCATTACAGCAACCATCCAAGGAGGTACAGTGGAACCTCAAAAATCGAACGTATCACATATCGAACGTTTCGAAAATAGGACCATTTTTTCGGACAAACTGTGCCCCTATTATCGAACGTGCCCCTATTTTCGGACCGCTGGGTACAGGACCTGTCTGCCGCCCGCGTCCCCGCGCAGGCGCCGTGAGCAGTCTAGCTTTGCTTATGCTTGAGTGAACACTAACCTGTGCTCTCATTCACGCATTTTACGATTACTTCGTTGTGTTTAGTGCTTGTGGGACTGTGAAATAAGCTGCCATGGGCCCAAAGAAACTTGCTAGTGGTACCCCTGTGGTAAAGAAAGTGAGAAACACCATAGATGTGAAGAAGGAAATAATACAGAAGTATGAGAGTGGTGTGAGACTTGTTGAGCTTGCCAGGATGTATGGGAAAATCAAGTCGACCATTGGTTCTATCCTGTCAAAAAGAATAAATCGAGGAAGCTGATGTTGTGAAAGGTGTTAATATAGGGAGTGGATGAGGTGCCTTCTTCAAAGATTAAGGAGATTTGCCAAGTGGAATGATGTCCAAATGTTTGTGCAGAAGTACCACCCTGAGCAAGCTGAAACAAGCCATCTTTGCAACAAGTTCAGTGACAGAACCATGTCCCATTTTAGGGAAATGTTAAAGGTGCCAGAAACAGAGGACTGTGGACAATTATTTTGTGAGACAGGGGTCCAGTGACTCTCAAGCTGGTCCTAGTGGCATTAAAAGACAGAGAAGGGAAGTAACCCCAGAGAGGGCTTTACCTGAAGTCCTCATGGAGGGGGATTCTCCTTCCAAACGCAAACCCCCAAACCCTCCCTCTCTCCTCCTCCCTATCTTCCAGATGCCATCACCAATCTTCAATAAAGGTAAGTAAAAATGTTATTTTATATGTATTACTATACATAATTAAAAACTATAGCATTTGTTGTATGTAAAACTGTAATTAATCTATATAAAATGTATTTTTTGTGTGAATATTTTTGGGCTTCTGGAACGGATTAATTTTATTTCCATTATTTCTTATGGGAAATATTGCTTCGAATTTCAGACTTTTCGAATTTAGAACTAGCTCTTGGAACGGATTAAGTTCGATTTTTGAGGTTCCACTGTACTACCATCTAGTCAAATAAGCATAAAAGGGAAACCAGTTGAATTTTTTTTTTTTGTTTTTTTTGCACTCTGACAGGACTGCTGATCTTTTTTTTGTCTCGGGAACATGCAAGATGACAAATAAATCTTGCAAACTTCTGCTTGCATTCAATATACTGTACATGTATCTTTGCTTTACTAAACGTATACTTCTTAATAGGTCTTAATCCTGTAATATTTCCTTTCCAACCTTGGTCTAGAGACTGTGCTGTGGGGAAGATAATCCCCAGAAACTCTAACAGATAGCAGATCCCCTTCAAGGAGGGTGCCTTGATGTTAACCCTTTCAGGGTCCGTGCCGTTACACCATGAGCTCAGCTCACTCTGATAAGCTGTGAGTGGTAAATTTGGGCCTGGATATGAGAGAATACATCTATGTGGTGTGTGTGCACCACATAAAACAAATCCTGCAGCACACAGTGTATAATGAGAAAAAAAAAACTGAGACCGTGTTTTTCGATTAAAACAGCTACTTTGCAGTATTTTTTCGTATGTTTTTTTTATAGTTGTATTTGCGATTTTTTGGTCTCATTTGATAGAATGGAAGACATATTACAGAAATAGAGATGATTTTGATTGATTTTAGCACTGGAAATAACTTGAAACTGAGCTCAAAGTAGCAGAAATGTTAAATTTTTCCCGATTCAAGAGTAAACAAACGACCTCACACGTCTAATACACACCAGCTGGTGGGTCTAATATACATTCACAAATATGGTGATGATATTTATACAATTATTACAATATTGCATAACAGTAAATCTTCTATTTTTAAGTTTGAATAAAAATTCCTTATGTGAATAAAAATCAATATGGAATTCATTTGTAAAGCCTCAAAACATAACTAATGAACAGAGGAAATGTTAGTTTAGTGCCAGGAATACCTACATTGTTTATTCTGGACCCTCTTTTGAAATTGGAATATTTTGAACTTTGTGTTAAATTGGCCAAATTACCAATTTCCGATCACTTTATTTTGTAGTCGAAACAATTGACTTGGCAATTTCATGTGCTCATTCGATAGAATAGAAGTAATACTAGTGCAACAACTAAGAATTTGGTCAACTGGAATCGTGTAATTGACCTAAAAGGGGAGTCAACTTCGGCAAAATTGCCAATTCGTAAATATCGCTGACACATCAAAATTCGCGAGAGCATAATTTCGTAAATTTTCCATCAAATTTCGTACTTTTTGTTTTATTACCTTCAGAAAAAGATTCTTTACCATTTCATAAGTAAAAATAATTTTTTTTTTTTTTTTAATTTTTGGACCCTGGTGTGCACTTTGAAATTTGGCCTCTGGACCCTGAAAGGGTTAATGAAGGGTTCTTTGACAAGGCAAGCATCAGACAAGCCTGGCCCAGGGCTAGGTTGCAGGAGCAGGAAAACCCCTCAAAGCCCATCCAGGGTATATAATTGCAGTATCTCCCATTTTCTCAGGTGCTGTAATAATACCATAATAATCATAATTTTTATTTCATATTGAATAGGCTTTAACTTTTTTTTTTTTAATCCAAGGTCAACAATTTTACTATTGTTTAGCCAGGCCATTTGGAGACATTGTATAAGTTACTGCTTTTTTCTTTTTGCTTCTGTCTCTTATAATATATCTTGTGTTATAATTTATATTACTATACCTTTTACAATTATGTTATACATGTATACATGACTCAGTAATGATTTAGCAGTATCAAGCAAATTATGTCCTGACTCCAAACTCTTATGACCTACATAATGATGGAAGCGGTGGGAGGAAGACATTCGTCCGTTCTTATCTTGTATTGAAATGAGTCGAAGACAGCGAATTGTTATGACCGTCATCATCCTCGGCTCCTTTGTCTACGTTATCCTTACACAGGTAATATATTATTAATCACTCATTTTATAGCTTATTGGGTAAATTTCCTATCTTTGCTATAATAACTGTTGTATGACCCATATAGGTTCAATTCTTGTATTTTATTTTTTCTTAATTAACACACCTACTGTCTCCCACTGAGGTAGGTTGAATAATAATAATAAAAAAAAAAAGAAGGCACGCATTCAATCACTTGTCTCAGCAGAAGTGTGCTGAAATCACAGTTTAGATGCCCCTCCAAATTGTAACATCTTCAGCCCTCATTCAGATTGCAGGCACTGTGCTTCCCACTCTCCAGGGCTCAAATCTGTCCTAACTGGTTTCCTTGAATCCTTTCATGAATGTTACCTTGCTCACACATGACTGTGATAAGTCATAGCAACCACTTGCCTCCACTCCAATCTAACATGCTCACACAAGCCTCTTGGATGCTGAAGCCACTATCCCTCCAACCCTTCCTGGGATGACCCCTACCCTTCCTTCCCTCCTCCACAGATTTATATACCCTCCTAGTCATTCTATTTTGCTCCATCCTCTAAATGCCCAAACCACGTCAACAACCCTTCTTCATAATTTTGGTAACTCCACACCGTCTAATCTGTACATTCCAAGTTCTCTGCAGTGTTCACGTCACACATCGCTCTCAAACATGACAGCTCCACTGTCTCTAGCTGCTTCCTTGATACAATATTGGAAGCCCTTGCTTCACACCCATGTAATAATGTTGGCACCACCATACTCGGGTACATTTTTCCTATTAACTTCCATGAATGAAGTTCTTTTTCTCCAAAGATGCCTCAGTGCCCCGCTTACCTTGTACCCCTCACCTTTTTTAAAGTTTGCCTCATCTTTTATGTACCCATCCACTGTCAACTCCAATATTGCTGAACACATTCACACCCTCTAAACTCACTCCCTCCAATCTGATGTCCATCCATTCATTGCATTTTTTTTGTTACTCTCATTGCCTTGCTCTTTCCTATGTTAATTTTAATTTCCTTCATTTTACACACCCTCTTAAATTCCTCCTCCAGTTTTTTCTGTTTCTTTTCAGAATTTCCCAAATGAACTACGATATCCTTAAAGAGCAGCTGTGACAACTCCCACTTGATATCAGATTTGTTATCTTTTAGTCCCTTACCTATCTCCAACACCCTTCCATTCATTTCTTTTACAACTCCATCTATAAATATGTTGAACAATTATGGTGTTGGATGGGTCTATGAAAGACAAGATGAATCATAAAACTGATAAGGGAAAAATGGTGGGTGGTGCACTGAGGCATCTGTGGAGACAAAGAACCTTATTCATGGAGCCAAAAGGGTATGTTTGAGAGCATACTAGTGCCAATGCTTATATGGATGTGCAGTGTGGATTGTGAATGTTGCAGTGAGGAAGAGGCTGGAGGCAGTGGAGATGTCATATCTGAGGGCAAAGTGTGGTGTAACTTGGAGATTAGGAGATGCGGGTTACCATCTCAGAGGACTGAGGAGGGGTTGTTGAGATGGTTAGGACATTTAGAGAGGATAGAGAAAAATAGGATGACTTGGATGCATTAATCTGTAGTGGAGGGAAATCAAGGTAGGGGTTGCCCTAGGTAAGGTTGGAGAAACTGGGGTACAGGAGGTTTTGTGTGTGAGAAGCTTGTATGTCTGGCAGGAATGTGTGAGCATGTTAGATAGGAGTGGAGGCAAATGTTTTTTGGGGGATTTGATGTGCTGTTGGAGTGTAGGCATGGTAACATTTTGTGAAGGGATTCAGGGAAACTGATTAGCCAGGCTTGAGTTTGGAGGTGGGAAGTACAATGCCTGTGCTCTGAAGGAGGGGTAGGATATTTGTAGTTTAGAGGGGCATCTGAACTAGTATTAGTACTTTTATAACAAAAAAAAAGGCACAATACCGTGACTGGAACGATACACAAATAACCCGCACATAGAAGAGAGAAGCTTATGATGACATTTCGGTCCGACTTGGACCATTTACAAAGTCACACTGAGATAACTAATTCACAAAGTCACAGTGTGACTTTGTAAATGGTCCAAGTCGGACCGAAACATAGTCGTAAGCTTCTCTCTTCTATGTGCAGGTTGTTTGTGTATTAGTGCTTTTGGCAAGACAGTCATAATGAATGATAGTGAAAGTGGTTCTTTTTTTGGATCATCCTACCTTGGTAGAACACAGCTGGTGTATTAAATATACATACAGAAGGGCATTACTTATATGGTGGGTTAGCTTCCAGGCTACAACTGTAAAGCAGAAATCTCCATAAAGCGAATTGCCCTTTTTTTCACTTTTAAATGCATGTAAATGTCTGATAACATGTTTACACTATCATATATTAAGTTAGCAATAGAACTAGGTAGTATACAAAAACAATAAAAAAGTAAATATCAAAATGTTATACAATACCGACAGGTTGGTAGGTAAGACACATGGGCAACAGTTAGGCAACTTTATTCCGAAACATTTCGCCTGTACAGTAAGATGGTAGGATTGCTGGTGTCTTTTTCTGTCTCATAAACATGCTAGATAACAAGGATATCTTGCTACTCCTACTTACATTTTGCTCACACTTCACAGACACGCACATGCATATGTATATACATACATCTAGGTTTTTCTCCTTTTTCTAAATAGCTCTTGTTCTTCTTTATTTCTTCTATTGTCCATGGGGAAGTGGAAAAGAATATTTCCTCCGTAAGCCATGCGTGTCGTATGAGGCGACTAAAATGCCGGGAGCAATGGGCTAGTAACCCCTTCTCCTGTAGACATTTACTAAAAAAGAGAAGAAAAACTTTATAAAACTGGGATGCTTGAATGTGCGTGGATGTAGTGCGGATGACAAGAAGCAGATGATTGCTGATGTTATAAATGAAAAGAAGTTGGATGTCCTGGCCCTAAGTGAAACAAAGCTGAAGGGGGTAGGGGAGTTTCGGTGGGGGGAAATAAATGGGATTAAATCTGGAGTATCTGAGAGAGTTGGAGCAAAGGAAGGGGTAGCAGTAATGTTGAAGGATCAGTTATGGAAGGAGAAAAGAGAATATGAATGTGTAAATTCAAGAATTATGTGGATTAAAGTAAAGGTTGGATGCGAGAAGTGGGTCATAATAAGCGTGTATGCACCTGGAGAAGAGAGCAATGCAGAGGAGAGAGAGAGATTTTGGGAGATGTTAAGTGAATGTATAGGAGCCTTTGAACCAAGTGAGAGAGTAATTGTGGTAGGGGACCTGAATGCTAAAGTAGGAGAAACTTTTAGAGAGGGTGTGGTAGGTAAGTTTGGGGTGCCAGGTGTAAATGATAATGGGAGCCCTTTGATTGAACTTTGTATAGAAAGGGGTTTAAAGTATACAAGATATGATGTAGGGTGAAATGACAGTAGTTTGTTGGATTATGTATTGGTAGATAAAAGACTGTTGAGTAGACTTCAGGATGTACATGTTTATAGAGGGGCCACAGATATATCAGATCACTTTCTAGTTGTAGCTACACTGAGAGTAAAAGGTAGATGGGATAAAAGGAGAATAGAAGCATCAGGGAAGAGAGAGGTGAAGGTTTATAAACTAAAAGAGGAGGCAGTTAGGGAAAGATATAAACAGCTATTGGAGGATAGATGGGCTAATGAGAGCATAGGCAATGGGGTTGAAGAGGTATGGGTAGGTTTAAAAATGTAGTGTTAGAGTGTTCAGCAGAAGTTTGTGGTTACAGGAAAGTGGGTGCGGGAGGGAAGAGGAGCGATTGGTGGAATGATGATGTAAAGAGAGTAGTAAGGGAGAAAAAGTTAGCATATGAGAAGTTTTTACAAAGTAGAAGTGATGCAAGGAGGGAAGAGTATATGGAGAAAAAGAGAGAGGTTAAGAGAGTGGTGAAGCAATGTAAAAAGAGAGCAAATGAGAGAGTGGGTGAGATGTTATCAACAAATTTTGTTGAAAATAAGAAAAAGTTTTGGAGTGAGATTAACAAGTTAAGGAAGCCTAGAGAACAAATGGATTTGTCAGTTAAAAATAGGAGAGGAGAGTTATTAAATGGAGAGTTAGAGGTATTGGGAAGATGGAGGGAATATTTTGAGGAATTGTTAAATGTTGATGAAGATAGGGAAGCTGTGATTTCGTGTATAGGGCAAGGAGGAATAACATCTTGTAGGAGTGAGGAAGAGCCAGTTGTGAGTGTGGGGGAAGTTCGTGAGGCAGTAGGTAAAATGAAAGGGGGTAAGGCAGCCGGGATTGATGGGATAAAGGTAGAAATGTTAAAAGCAGGTGGGGATATAGTTTTGGAGTGGTTGGTGCAATTATTTAATAAATGTATGGAAGAGGGTAAGGTACCTAGGGATTGGCAGAGAGCATGCATAGTTCCTTTGTATAAAGGCAAAGGGTACAAAAGAGAGTGCAAAAATTATAAGGGGATAAGTCTGTTGAGTATACCTGGTAAAGTGTATGGTAGAGTTATTATTGAAAGAATTAAAAGTAAGACGGAGAATAGGATAGCAGATGAACAAGGAGGCTTTAGGAAAGGTAGGGGGTGTGTGGACCAGGTGTTTACAGTGAAACATATAAGTGAACAGTATTTAGATAAGGCTAAAGAGTCTTTGTGGCATTTATGTATTTGGAAAAGGCGTATGACAGGGTGGATAGGGGGGCAATGTGGCAGATGTTGCAGGTGTATGGTGTAGGAGGTAGGTTACTGAAAGCAGTGAAGAGTTTTTACGAGGATAGTGAGGCTCAAGTTAGAGTACATAGGAAAGAGGGAAATTATTTCCCAGTAAAAGTAGGCCTTAGACAAGGATGTGTGATGTCACCATGGTTGTTTAAAATATTTATAGATGGGGTTGTAAGAGAAGTAAATGCGAGGGTCTTGACAAGAGGCGTGGAGTTAAAAGATAAAGAATCACACATAAAGTGGGAGTTGTCACAGTTGCTCTTTGCTGATGACACTGTGCTCTTGGGAGATTCTGAAGAGAAGTTGCAGGGATTGGTGGATGAATTTGGTAGGGTGTGCAAAAGAAG